TTTTTAATATAGTGCACGCTCATGCGCATATAGCTTTTATAATTGGCAAAGGCTCTTGAATGCATTGAAGGAGGGAGCCCTGACATGGCCTTCGCTGCCTGAACATCCTCCCATCACTCGCCGTCAGCAATTTGGTCTCAGAGATGAAATCAAAGAAGCCAAGGACGAAGAAAAGAAGAACAAGAAACAACAGGCTGTAGAAGAGAAGGAGGTTGAAAACGAGAAGAATGGTGGGAAGCAGTGCGCAGCGAAGAAGCGTGCAGCGAAGAAGTGCGCAGCGACTGAGGCACCTGAGAAGCCTCCTGCCAAAGTCATCAAGTCTGCTAGCATGAAAAATCCCAAAAAGATCAAAAAGAGTCCAGCCGGCAAAAAGTTGCGCGGCCTTCGCAAGCAGAAGACAATGGCTCAAAGTGGCTGGGAACCTCTCGAGCAGCCACCTCTAGAGGATGGGGTGGATGTGGAGGAAGAGGAGGCAGAGGAAGAATACGAGCAAGACTCGCAGCCACCAAAAGAATGCGCTGCGGATAGCGCAGAGCGGGAATCAAAAGGTGATGAGATGGCTTCATCTTCCAAGGGGCCGATCTTAAGGAAGAAGAATTCGGGAAAAAACAAGAAGGGAAAGAACAGTCGGAAAAAAGGCAGCAAAAGTTGAAGATGGCAAAAGGGCAGCCAAGGAAAAGTCAAGCAAGCCAGCAAAGGGTGAGTCAGAAGGTGTCCAGGAGCTTCCTGACTTTGCCTACTGGTATGCATGCATCACTCAGATGGTGGAAGACTGCTGTGACACTGATTGTTTGCATCCAGATGCCGGAGAAGAGAGATGCCCTCCAAATTTCCAAGTCTCGTGCTACTGGACAAGGCATGCCGCAGGAGTCAAGGCATCGAATGCCATCTTGCAGGACCTCAAAACCGGAAAGAAGAATAAGAAGGCAGCGCGTGCGGCTAAGCCCAAGTCGCAACAGAAGGTTTACAAGTCCAAGGACTTTCGCCAAGTTGCTTACTTTTCTCATGGTGGCTGTGTCTATGTCAACGTCAAATTGGCCTCGCTTTTTGCCCTTTGGTTGCACGCTGGTGAAACCTATAGTAGACTGTGCATGCGTGCATGCGTGTGCATATACAGAAATTGATCCACAAGCGACCTGGACCACCCCTTTTGGTCCTCCATCTGTCATCCCAGGCACAGAAGCTGGCGGACTGCGACAGCCTGACCAAGGAGTCTGCAAAAAAGCTCGAGAAAGACTTGAAATCGGTCCAGGAACTCGTTTTTTCGTGATTGGGGATACTCGGTGAAGGGCTGCGAGTGCGACAGGGTGTTCAAATGAGCAGTCAGCGCTGAAGGTATATAAGAAAAATAAACAATCAAAACTATATACAGTATAATCAAAACAAGCATTTCCCTTTTGCATGATGTTTTCGTATATCTTCGCACCGTGGTTTAGTTTTATGTTGGCTGCCCAAATGAGCACCGCGCTTTCCCTTGCCAATTTAAAGCTTCGCTGCTCATTGAAACATGATGCAGCCAGCCTTGGTGATGTGGGGATCGCATGATGCACCGCATCGTGCGCTTTTGGGGGATCGATTGCTATATCGATCACAATCGCTCTCATTGCTCTGGTGCACCGTGCATGCACAGAGAAAAGAAAATGCTCCTGTTCACCAAAGGCATGTTTGGGGTCCCAGCCATTTGAATTATACACCATTTATATTCGCAAACGTGAGTCAGGCACTGGCCTGTTCATGCGTGCAGTGCAAAGTCTTCTTGGATCTCATCGATGTCATCCTGACTTGATTGCCAGGATGGTGCTGCAGCGGGGCACTGCTCGGAGCAAAGGGTACACGACCCGGTCTGGGGTGAACAAGATGAGAGGTCTACCTAGCATGCTTGTGGTGTGCGTTCATGCACGCCCTGTAGGACCGTAGGATACTTAAGGAGCTTGTTTTCGATAAAACGTGCTGATATATGGATCTGTGCAACACGGTTAGCGTGAGCATGCAAAGAACTTAATCGTTTGCTATAATGAAAAGGCCAGTGTGATTTGTGCATGCAGTACCACAAACCCTCCACATGAAATCTTTGCTGCAGCCAACTTAGGGAGTGGTTGATGTCGTTTTGACGATGTTCCAGCTTGCACAAACAAAGAACACAACAGAGTCCTACCAACTGAAGTTTCTTTCGGTTAACATTTTCACGAACCGTGCATCTTTTGTTGGTACCTTTGCCGACTTCCTCACTTCGAAATCATGGCGCTGGGTCATTCCCTTGACATGGACAGCCTTGTCCATCGGCTACTCCTACTTCAAGCACCAAAGGCCAGGTGTTCAGCAGGTGTGATGTGGATCAACCTATCTCCACAACAAAGTTATATAAGTCACCGCTGAAGCTATATTATGCAATCTCGTTGCTTTTGCCGTTCTACGTTTGACTGTGTGGACACCTGTCATGACCTGGGCCCCCCTCTTGCCTGCTGCCCCGGCCCGTTGGCAGGCCTTCATCTTCCTCGTCATCATGGTGGCGTTCAGCGGAAATCTACCTGGAATGCCACAGGCTGGTCTTGCGCAAGTATGGGTCCATGAGCTCATGTGCATTTGGATCACTCAAGGCATGAGGTAAAAGGATGGTAAAGGGACGGCATTGGTATAATGAAGGTCGTGCACACTAAATTGCACTAGTGAATTCAGTGGGAGGGTGGGTTTGACAATTGCTCGTCAACAATGACCAGTGACAGCGCCCGAGGACTTGGAATACCTGGAGCTATTTGCAGGTGTCGCCAATGTATTCTCTGAAGCACGGAAAGCAAATCGCAATGCTCTAGCTTGCGATGTAGAGTATGGGCAGCATTTTGGGTTCGCACCTGACTCCAACCCTTTCGACTTCATGTCGCCTTCAGGATTTGCGTTTTGGGCCAAGTTTGTCCAAGTTAAGCCAAAACCACAAACATGGCATCTTGATGGAACCATACAACTCTGTTTGTTTTTTCCGATCAACTTCCCACTCAGGCTTTGCATTTGGGCAATCCTAAATGCCCGGGAGGATGAGTTTTGGGTCCTGATGGGGACCGTGTGCTCTTCATGGGTGCATATGAATGTCGGCACGAGCAAAAGGTCGATCTTATTGCCATGTGGCGACGAACGGCTCCAATACATACGAACTGCCAACAATATGGTGTCAAGGACATTTGTTTATATTTGCACGCAACATGACTGATCTACTTTAAAATTCATCGGCGCATGGGGAAGCAAAACATGAACCAGGTTATATGGAAGCATATTTCCGTTGAATAATCTTTTACAACAGTCGCGGTTGATTTTCCCTTGACTGAACAAAGCACACACAAGGGATCAACCTGCAGAAACAAGTTGG